AAAAAAAAAAAAAAAAAAAAAAAAGGAAAGAGAGAGAGAGATCTTGAAACTTGGGATAGAAGATGAAATAAACATAAGGACTATTATGACTTGTGAACAGATGTCCCCCCAAACTCTCACACAGTCATAGGTGGGGCTTTTCAGAGGTAGCTAGATGGAGTGTGTGACACTGGGATCAAGGGTGTGTGATTACTAAATCTATTGATTGGTTTGGCATAGTTCTGGGTGTGGATAATGGGAAGGCCCACTTGGGTGTACTACCCACCTTAAAGGCATGTAGCCTGGATAGAATATAAGGAACAAAAAGAAGACTGCTTCTCTTGCTTCACTACCTCACTGTTTTTCTGCCCCCTGCCTGCTATGAACTGTTTCTCCTCTGCAATGGCCCTCTGCCATGCTACCCTGCCTTGGAGCCAGTCAACTATGAACTGAAACCTCTACAAACTGTGAGCTACAATAAACATTCCTCCTCTATCTTTGGGTGTGGGATATTTTGTCTCAGCAACAAGAAAGGTAAGACAAGGAATATTAAACAGAGAATAAATGAAATTAAAAGAGCTATATTACTCCACCTTTGCATATTCAGTTGTAAACACATCTGGCTCAATCCAACATACCCAATGAGATTCTTCCTCCCCAAAATTTAGACTCTGAGCAGGCACAGTGGCATATGCTTGTAAACCCAGCTTCTTGGGAGGGTTGACACAGGATGATTACAAGCTTAAGGCCACCATGGGAAATTTTTTGAGAAACTATGTCAAAATAAAAATTTAAAAGGCCTGGGGGTGTAGCTCAGTGGCAAAGTGTTTGCCTAGCATGTGTGAGGTACTGGATCCAATCCTCAGCACCACAAAAAAAAAAAAATGACTTTATGTGGTCTCTACTCAGTGCTTGAGTTTTTAAAAAATGATACAAGACAAGCACTAGTGAAGCCATATTTTCCCTATGTAACCAAAAATCCTCAGGACAAAGATGAGGCATACATACACAGAGAAGCAGAAATACAATATTTTACATGCTTAATGACACTACTTATATAATTTCCATTCCCAGTGGCTTCTCAGTTCCCTGTTCCAGTTCCTAGTGAGATCTGGCTAAAATATCTGCCCTTAGATTACAAGGGCAGGTATATCCATAACCTCACCAGAAATTCTTCTGTCTAATAAGGCCAGCTAAAGTAAAACAGAATAGAGAATATATGAGCCTACCAAGGGATACAGAAAAGCTGATACACGACTGAGGAAATAAGCAGGAACAGGAACAAGTACTCCAATGCTACTGCACTGTTGTTACAAAAAAAAAGCACCCTCTAGTTCCCCAGTTCTCTGATGACTTTACAAACTAATAAAATTCACAGTAAAGAGCTCAGCAAACAAACTTTACAGCATCCGGATTTATAGTGTACATGTGCTCCAACAGTCTGCCATGGAACAAAGAACAAAGTTTGTTCTTGTCAGGTCATTACAGTTGCCAATTGTAAATGTTGCTTATTTACACCTCTAAGTAACTGATCATATTTTTATCCCATACATGACATAACTATATATTTTGAATTATATTCTGACTCACTGTTTTCCTTCTCTCAGACCATCACCCACACTGACAGGTGTAGGCAGCCATGTTTGCACTGTAAGATCCAACTTCAGGCTGAAAACAATTATCAACAATTATCGAAACACCAGGCCCTAAGTAGTCCAATGGTATTTTTCATCTAAGAATTTAGGGTTGAGATTCAAAGACTTCTGCTAGCTAACTATGGATGTTGTACATGTAAGCCTATAGACATAAGAACTGGAGCTGCCATCTGGGGGTGGCCTTTTTCAGCTATTATGTATGGAAAAGCAGAAAAACCTTCAAAATGAGAATTAAAAACACTGAAAGAGTCTCCATGATCTAAGAAAGTATAGAAAGAAAGTGAACAGCCACTGTTGTGGTAAAGGAAAAATAGGACAAAGTACAAACTGGACTTGATAAGAAACAAGTTGTGGTACCTGAATATACATAGCCAGAACATACTGTTATTTTAATGGAGGACATTTAGGGGATTAGTTTCTACGGAGTAGAACATCAGTCTCTGGAAGAACAGATATAGCAGGGAAACACAAAAGTGTAGTTCCTAGCTGCTTTTTATTTAGAAGTCATGAAATGCAGCACCCTAGGAGAGTTTAACAGAATCTCCCAGGTGCCATGACAAGACCATGTCTTCCAGTGCCCAAGGATGATGGGGAAGACGGAGGCAAATTTCATTCAAGGTAAAAAGAGATAAAAACTCAAAGCCTTCCCCTTGACATTTAATATTATAAAAACCTCTCGTGATGGGTTGGGCTGGTCACAACACCCCTCCACCAAAAGAGGATGGAATGCAGTAAAAGAAAAATGCACATGAGGGAAAGGAAGAGAATCTGAACTAGAAAACTGGTATAACAGGGTCACAATGGGAAGAGTTGAGTCTGGCAGAGTATTTGATTAGGGATGGAATCTTTTCTTGAATTTGAGATAGCAACTGAAACTATTACTTCAGTAATTACTAATTACTAATTGCTCCCTAGGCCCAGCAAATCACTGGAGGAAATAAAATATACTTTTCTTAAGAACCTCCAAAAATTACATAAGAATTTGAACCCAGAAAATAGTATAGCAATGATAAAGCTGTAACTCAGAATTACTTTTTCAGTTTTAACACCACATGTCAGCAAGAAAAATCATGGTGGCTAAACTACAGTCGTTAGTAGATGACTCAGAAATTCCACTGGTATCTGTTCATTTGTCATTTAAAGGATAGGTCCCTTTTCTCTCAGGAAATTCATAAGGATTTGGACAAATTGAGATTCAAGAAAACTTTAAAAGATATGGTAGATGTTCTGCTAATTTGCGGACTGTGGAGACATAAGTAACTGGATACTTTAATATTTGGTGGTAACATCCAAAATTCAAACAAATCCATCTAAGAATATGGACATGACTTGTGTGATGTCAGTGAGAACTGAAAAAAAAAGAAAAAAAAAACAAATGGGAAATGAGGAGCGCATGGTAACCTATAGAACACAGGACTAAAATCAGAGTAGACAGTGATAAAACAGGAAAGGTGAAAGGAAACTCTTAATTTATAAATAAAGACAAAGCCTTCCATTTCTGATACCTTAAGACTGTTTTATAAGTAGGTAAAACAGGCATGCAAACAAAGGAATTAGAGGTGTTCATCATATGTCACCAGTGTAGAATCAACAGCTTGTAACTACATAATGAATGATCTTTTTGAGAGAAATAGCAAAAAGAACAGGTAGTAAAAGACAAAACCTAAAAGTGAAAAGGAGGAAAAGATCATGAGTAAATAGTAAAGGAGCACTTAGAGACAGAGGATATGATCTGCATCAAGTGCTGCAATTAGGTGGACAAGAACCTGAGGCTAAACTATTACAGTGTGCACTGAAGGTAAGTAGTGATGAGTTCAGTCAGAAACACAGATAGAAGCATGGATCCTGCAGAAGGGGACTGCAGGGAGTAAGGATAAAATGAACATGATGATGTGTTACAGACCATAGGCCTAGATCATTTCACAGTCAAAGGAGAGAAATGGAAAGTCATCAGGGTAGAAGCATCATGCCAAGAGACATGGAAATAAGACAGGCCTAAGAATGTCTGAATACATAAAGAGATGATGTGATACCCTGAGGAACTGGAGAGTAGGTGGAGGAAGGGAGAAAAACTGAGCATAGAAAGAAAAGAGAATTTTCAAAACAATACTACTTTAGACAAGGTAAATAGGAATAAGACTGAGAGAAAAGCTAAGACGTCATCTGCAAGCTGAGCAATGGAGCACATGGTAAAGGAAAGAGGGTTATATGGAGGGACCAGGCATCTGAAGGGTTGGCACCAAAGGTTTAGAGCTCTGATTTTCACCTTTTTTCCTACCACAATCTGAATGGTATGACAAACTATATTACTGTTTGCTGTAGAAGGATTATCCCTCTCAGCTCCTCCAAAATGCATGGTCATTGAAACCATAGCACCTCTCTGCATGGAAAGATTATACATTCCAAGCCTGTCGAACTCAGTGGTGGCCAGGTGTCTTGCTCTGACCAATAAAATGGGGCCCAGTGGGATCTCTATCATTTATAAGCAGTGACTGTAAGAGTTACCATGTGGTGACACTCACCCCTTTTTCCCTCTGCTATGAGACCAGAATTTGCCAAACCAGAAATGCTCTTTCAGCTTAGGTCCCCAGTAAGTTAAGGGATTTGGGATCATTCCTTAAAAAAGCAAAATTTAGTCTAAGCTGACTAATAGAAATTGTGTAATCAAACTCTCCTAAGCAACACTGGCTCACTAGTACAACTGACCTCACATGGGAGCCCCTTCTATGCAGATTCACAAAAGGAAGAGATATTAGAATCTCCAAGGCTCAGAAATCTTTGTAGTTTGAACTCTTCTTTCCCTAGGAGATTCTGATATTCTTTCTACTTCTATTTCCTGGGTAAGAAAAACTTGTCTGAGATCTTTAAGATTTAAGAATAAGTAATTTAAGCCAGGGATTTAGCTCAGTGGTTCCGGTGCCTGCCTCACAAGTGCAAGGACCCGAGTTCGATCTCCGGTTTAAAAAAAAATTTTAAAAAAAAGAACAAATAATTTAAGAATAAACAGTTCTTTGAAGAATTCCATAATAACCACCAAAAACCAAAAACTTACTTCCACTGGCTCCTGTTTGCTTGGATCTTGCTAGTTTACTGAGATGATTTTGACTGGATCTTTTCCTCTTCCCTGACCATGCCTCTTCTCCTTTTTCCAATTTGCAGATCATGTCTGGTTTGGGAGCTTGGTACCCTGCTCATAGGAAATGGTAGAAATTGAGCATTAGAACAACAATCTCAGAAATCAAGCCCACTATTTGCACTTCAAGGTCTTTCAAGAATACATAGCTTCCGGGCTGGGGTGCCGCTGTCCACCTCGGAAGCACAAGGTCCTGAGTTCGATCCCTGGTACCAAAAAAAAAAAAAAAAAAAAGGAATACATGGCTTCTGTGGAAGCCCATGTACCTCAACTGAGTATACACCTGCTTTGAAGACATCGGTACAGGTATCCTGCCCTGTAACTAAAAGAGATTAAAACTCTTTGACCACCCCAAATCAAGGCCAAACTCATTTAAGGACTTCAATAAGAAGGTACCAGAGTGAATATATTTTGAATTATAAGGGGTTGTCCTTACCCACTGAGGCTAGGTTGCTGTAGTTCTCCAGCATTACATCCTTGTACAGGTCTCTTTGAGCAGGATCCAGTTTCTCCCATTCCTTCTGAGTAAAGGCCATAGTCACATCTCTAAGTGTTACTGATGCCTGTAATAGCACAGTCCAGTTCAGTCTAGTTTTACCCATATTCAGTGAATGATTTGGACAAGATAATTTGTTCTTACCTTGACCACTCACTGTTGACCACCATGGTCTGTAACAGTGGTGGTGAACCGCTAGCACCCTGGTTGTTATCATTGAAAGCTCTAAAAGGTTCACTATCATTGGTCTATAGGATACCTATTCTCTGCCTAGTAATGTACTTTTTAGAAGAAACAAAAGTCATACTAACACATTTGCCTATTGTATATTTGTTGAGGATAAACTCATATGAATATCAAAAGAAAGGAAGGAAGGAAGGAAGGAGGGAGAGAAGAACAGCCTATCTTTTGTTCTGTTACAAAGATAATTAAAGGCTATGAAGCAGTATTTATAGAGTTCAAAGGTAAAAGAATTGAGATGACCTTTATAATCCATCAAAAAATAATTTGTGCTTGGAAACAAAGTAAAACATTTTAGGCAGGTACAGATGCAGAAATTATACTACCTACATGCTTTAGATAGAAAGAGAGAGAGGGGAAGGGAGAGAGAAGCAGAGAAGGAGAAAAAGAAGAATCTTTAAAAGAAAAAATGGGATCAGAATAAAATTTTAACATTGGGAAAGACTAAATATATGAGAAAGCTATGAAAAGTAAAGCCAGTAAAATATCTGGTTAAATCTAAGTACTGTGATAATGTGCCTGTGGAACTATTATGAAAATATCCTTAAAATCAAGAAACATTATGTAAGAAAAATAAGAATGTTACTGAGGGGGTAGGAGGCAGAAGGGAGATTAAACATGTTGAAGCTGTCTTATGCAGGTGAGTGAAGGAGTTTCTGGAGTATTTTGATACCAATAAATATACATTTAAACATATTTATTTGACATTTAAAGATAATCTCTCACTCTCATAGACCACAAATCAATTACCTGCATGCATCAACCTCTAGTCACTGACTCCTAGTAACTCTCATTACTGTCACTCACCTCCCAATCACTGAGCTGGCACAGCACTATTAATCATCAAGCCTAAAATTCCAGAATGACCAACTCCAGCAAACCTCCCAAGCTCTCTAGGACACACAGATCTCAATTTCCCACAATCCCCAAGTCTTCATCCCATCCAGCCCTGATCAACGATGCCAAAAGAACTCTCAAACAATGGCTGTTACAGAAACGCTCATCCCTGTCAGCAAACTCCACCTTATCTTCACCCTCTTAGCCATTTCTGTCACCTGTTTGTTTTAACTAAAATCAACCTATGTCCTGAGGACCCTGCTTCCTTACAGTCATCTCAAGCAGAATTTATCTTTTAGTACTTCCCATGATCTATGTACCTCAGGGTCTGAAGATGAAGTAAATGATTACCTCAACCATTTGTCAATCATCTTCAAAATCCCTTTTGAGCATCACCAGACCTTAACCCAGTAGTCTTCCTTGGGTCAGTGATTCAATAGGAAAGGTCACAGGATTCATCATATAGCTGTATTCATAGCTAAGATTTATTACGGCAAAAGAATTCAGAGCAAAACCAGATAATCAGCATGGTATGAACTCCAGACAAAACCAGGCACAAGCTGGGCGTGGTGGCGCACGCCTGTGATCCCAGCACTTGGGAAGCTGAGGCAAGAGGATCGCTGTGAGTTCGAGACCACCCTGGGCTACATAATGAGTTCCAGGGCAGTCTCAACTACACAGTGAGATCCTGTCTCAAAAAACAAAAACAAAAAACAAAAAAACAAAAAAACAAAACTAAGCACAAACATCCAAGGGACCTCTCCAAGTGGAGTCATACAGGGCATGTTTAATTCTTCCGGGAGTGAGTTTTGGTAACACATCTACAATACTACCAGGCTACAGTTAAACGGGATTGTTAAATTTGATTGGCTTCAGAGTCACCTAGGGGATTAGTAAAGCACATTTCTGGGCGTGGCTGGGTAGGTCAGGGAGGTATGACCTTTGCTACTATCTGTGGTTCCCTGGCCCTCTCCTTTCTGGTTTTGTTCCTCTGCTCTGCTTTCTGGCCACCATTAAGTGAACAGTCCTGCTCCTTTATTCCCTTCCACCATGATGCTTCTGCCTTGGAACTAGCCAACCTTGGACTGAAACCTGTGAAACCATAAAGCAAATTAAACTTCTCCTTTAGTACTACTCGGCCATAAAGATTGATAAACAACAGACATTTATAACTAAAAGGATGGACCTTGAGACTACACTCTTAGGTGAAATAAATAGGGCACATGTCTGTAAATACGGAATTGCTTTTCTGGTGTGACAAATTTAAAGTGTAAGTGAGGATCAAAATGTATAATTGATACTGTGAAACAGGAAGAAAAGGTTCAAAGGGGAAAGAGAACTAGGAAGTGGTGTGGGGAAAAGGAAAAGGAAATAAACGAGAAAAGAAGGCAAAATGAAAACAAAGCTTTTGTAAATAGAGAGGGGTAGAAGGTAGAAAAGAGGGAAAGGAAATGGGAAGAAACAAGAATCAAGATATATCATGTACAGGTACAAATTCCTAATGATGAATGTGATCATAATGTATAACTAAAAATGTACCAATAAACATAATTAAAAAAATAAAAATAAATCTCTCTTTTAACCGCACATGTTGGCATTTTGTCCCAGTGATGAAAAAAAACTAATCTAATCAGGAAAGTTTATAAGAAACTTGGTACCCAAGGTTTTTACTGGGGACTTGATCATGTAAGGACTCTCTGCACAGACTTACAAAAATTCTAGACTTCTGAAGGAAAGCAGCACAAACCATACTGCCAAATCTTATTGGCTAAAGAGAGCCACTTATCAATCCTGAAAACAGTGGGAACACTCTTAACATCTAATTTCCTTGATGCCAGCGATAGGTCAACCTTGCAAGCAGCCTTGTCTAAGCATGTCAGTCCTTGTCCCTCTTCTGTTCCTTGAACTGCCTTCTCTTCCCAGATGATCTGAGACAATCTAATGGCTTTAAATACTATCTTTATGCTGCAACCTTTCAAATCTGGTTTCCTAGCCCATTACACTTGGATGTGTAATGAGCAGTTTAACGGCTTAAAACAGAACCAGTCACGAACCCTTCTCATTTCCTTCCACTAATCTGGTCTTCAACACTACACTTTCTCAGGAGATGAAGTCACCATCCATCCCATTCCTGAGTCCAGAAGTCTAGATGTAAATCCTGATTCTTCTCTTCCTTTATGATCCATATCAATTCATTAGTAAGTCCTATAAGCTTATGTCCATATGTATTTTGAATCTGATTTCTTTTCATTTTTCTACTACAATCCTATTCTAAATTATCATCATCTCTTGCCTTTGACCATTTCCATAAACCTCTAACTGACCTTCTTGTACTTACTTTGGCCCTTTGCAGTCCATCTTCCTCAGAGTAGACATAATGATCTTTTTAAAGTATCAATCATATCAGAGTGCCCCTGCTTAAATTTAATGGTTTCTCACTGTAATTACAATAAAATCCAAATTCTGACCCTAGTCACTAAGATCCAATAATTTAGTACTTCTTACCACTTTGATTTGATTTCACATCTTTCTACTTTCCCTCTGAGTATGTTCCAATAACATTAATCTTCCTCCTGTTTCTTAAGCACATCAAGTTCACTCCTACCTCAGGGCCTTTGCTGTTGTTGGTGCTCCTTTTACTTTGAACACGATTTCTTCAAATCTCTTCAGGGCAACCTCCTTGTCATCATTTACATTAAACCTGTCATTTCCTCAGAAAGGTTTTCTAGGACTAACTTGGCTAAAACCACATTATAATTACCCTAATTATAATAGCTCTCTACCACATTACCTCTTTTTATCTCATTTGTTTATTTTTTTATTGTCACTTTCCTATTTTGAGACTCCAAAAATATTGAGGGAGAGACTATAGCTCTGTTTCCTAATGTATTCAGCACTTAAAACACTCCTTAGCATCAAATAGGTATTCATTTTACAATCTGTTCCTACAGGTTTCCAAACACTGACATCCAACTTTTCACCAACCACTAATCTTTGCAAACTTCCATTACTTATAGAACCCAACTATTTTCCCAAATAGCATTATCTCAGATCAATCATTGACTTCCATAACACTTCAATCACTGACCCCTAAGGAACCTTCCATCACTAAACCCTGTCATCCCCCAATCCTGCAATCCTGAGGGGCCCCCTCAGGATCCTAAATTACTAACCACCTCATCACTAAAAGTTCAGTGGACACCACCTAATTATCAGTGACCATCTTTTCTTCCCAAACAACTTACAACCATCTGCCAGACCCACAGACACCTCAAAATTGACTCCCTAACATTCTACAAACCACTGTCCCACCCCATACTCAGGTTCTCCCTCTACTCATTTTAGCACACTCATCACTGGCTCTCAAAGACACTGCTAATCAGACTTCCACAAACACTACCATCGCTGACCCTGCAAGGCCCCAATCTCTGATCCTTACTCAATTCTCATCACCCAAATCCTCAAACTCCCCAACACAGCCCACTTTAACAGTCCAGTCTCTAACCACCACAGGTGCCCATACTCCCTTGGTTCAGACATTCTGAAAGAATAAAGGTGTCTCCATATTGCCCCTGAGATGAACCCCAGGGCAAATCTGTTGGACCCCCCCCCCAAGCCGTTAACCGCACAATCTATTTTAGCAACCTGTGTTTTTGCAGCAATCTGTTTTTGCAACCTTGTTTGCTCAACTCAGACATGTTCAAGAAAAACCACAAGATGTACCCGGTTATCGCCCCCACCCCCTAACTGCTGTCTTTGCTTCTGTAAGCTGAGCTTTGCTACCCCTCAGTTCCCCATTTATGGCCCTATAAAAAGCCAAGTTGTTTTCAGGTTCGGGGCTCCCCCTGTGTTTTTGCAGCAATCTGTTTTTGCAACCTTGTTTGCTCAACTCAGACATGTTCAAGAAAAACCACAAGATGTACCCGGTTATCGCCCCCACCCCCTAACTGCTGTCTTTGCTTCTGTAAGCTGAGCTTTGCTACCCCTCAGTTCCCCATTTATGGCCCTATAAAAAGCCAAGTTGTTTTCAGGTTCGGGGCTCCCCTCCCTTTGAGAGTGGGGTCCACGAGCGTAAATAAATTTCTTCTAGTCCTCTGGACTTTCTGTCTCCCTGCCGGTTATTCTCATCTGGTCTAACAATTCTAAATCACTAAGCCTCACAGACCTTCCCAGTCTCTGACACATCACAAAGCTCCATTTCTGATCCCCTAGCTTTCTCAACCCTGACTTGTCAATGCCTCCCGCCAACACTATCTCCGCAGATCCCTCAAAACACTGTTTCCTAAAAGAAGCAATCCCTGACTCCGTACACCCCTACTACCACCGACCCAGATCCCCCTCACAACACTGATCTCGGAAAAGACTCTCCGGCTTCGACCCCAGCAATTCCCAAATCTTGCCTTCAGAGACTACAGAAACATGCCAAGCACTGACGACCTCTGAGCGCCAAACTGCCCCCCCCCCCCACATTACCGCCCTCACCGCGAGGCTGCCCTCAGGCTTGGACAAGGCCATCTCCGGAGGATGCCCGGCCTCGTCAGCAGTTCCCGCACTCTTCTGGTCCACAGTCTCTGGCTTTGTCAGGATCCGGTTGCCGCTGGAGGCCGACATGGCATCCAGATCCATCACGGCCTCAGCCGGCCCTACGGCCGCGATGGCGGCGCCCATAGTGCCTGTGGATACGGCCATGTTGGGACAGCTCAGCCGTACAGGCGCGGGGACCTCTGGGAGGTAATCCCGGTGCTGAGAGAGAGTCCTCGCGATGGCGCTGGAGCGGCGAGATCGGAGAGGCGGAAACTGCTCAGTTACATTCACGGTAAAGAGGCTTTGCCTGGCACCTCGGCGTTGGTACTCAGATGTTTCACATTAGTAATTCTATTTACAGAGTCTAGAGTTCCTTTTCCTAGTAAGTCAGTACAGCCGGAAAACTCAGGAATCACTGTACCTAGTGTGAACTTCAGAGAGCTAATGATGACAAAAGAAATTAGAGGGAGAAAAGCCCAATCAGACAAATACCATTGTTTATAGGGAGAGGATGTTAATCTTTGGGATATTTGATAAATTCTTTCATTTAGTGGTATAAGAACAATAAGGAAACAATGAAGCGGCAGGTTAAGCGCACACACTGCTCTTCTGTCGGAGCTCTGGTTTGGTAGGGGAGATTTCAGCAGAATAACCAGGCAAATGGGGCAGAAATAATTTCCTAATGTGCTCTTTCACTGCATTCACTGAACAATTATTTGATGAGCTTTTATTCACCAACTATGTACAGTTGAGGTGCTGAGATATATGCTAGGTACTGGAGCAAGTCCGGAAAGACGCAGCCTGCCTTCCCTTGCTGTGAGGCCTACAGATTTTCTCACCTTCTGCTTGGGTGAATAAAGGATGGCTAGTGGTTGCATCCACTGTCTCTGTTCTCAGTCTTTTATCTGAATATAATTCTCAGTACTTCTTCACAGAGCTCATAAGAAAGACTTTCATAGGTTGCCTTCAGGACAGTTTCTGCCTAGTCTCTCTAAGGTATTGCTGATATTTCTTTCTTTCTTTCTTTCATTCTTTTCTCTCTCTCTCTCTCTCTCTCTCTCTCTCTCTCTCTCTCTCTCGCGTCTCTTTCTGTCTCTCCCTCTCTCCCTCTCTCTCTCCCTCAGTTTCTATTTCTTTTAAAACAATCACAACAGGGGCAGGGGATTTAGCTCAGTAGTTCTGCCACCTGCCTCACAAGTGCAAGGTCCCGAGTTGGATCCTTGGTACAAAAACAAAAAACAAACAAAAAACACACACGTGATCAGAACATTTTCCCTAGTCTTTTGGCATCAAACCTAGGAGCTAGCAAGGTGTGTTATAAATTAAATATTGTGGTAAACAGACTTTTAATATGGCTCCCGTTATCTCTTTCCTCTCGTGTTAAATATCCTTTCAGTAGCCCCCCCACCTTTGGTGCAAAAGAAAGCTGTAATTTGAGGAAATACCATGTTAGTGACATAATGAGGTGAATCTTGAAGAGACTAGACCTTTCTTGTAGGCACAGATCCTAAATGTGGGAGGAGATACGGAGGAGGTCATATGCCAAGGACCTGAGTGAAGCCCCTGAGAGCTGACAGTGTTTTTTCTGCACCTAGCAAAACAACAAGGGACTCATTCCTACAACTGCAAGGAAACATCTGCCAATGAACCGGGAACATATTTTTCTCCAAGGGAACATCTAAAGTAAGTCACAAGCCAACCAATGCCTTGATTTTAACTTTGTGAGACACTGTGCAGAGTCCAGCAGTCTGGGGGAGCATTTGCCAGAGAAACAGAGTCAATGTTGCATATAGAGAGGGTCTATAAGGAGATTTATTATGGGAATTGGCTCATGAGAGTATGGGGGCTAAAAAGTCCCACAATTCTCCATCTGCCATTTGGGGAACCAGAAAAGCAGGTGGTGTAATTCAATGTCTGAAGGCCTACGTGGAGGATGGAGGACAGCTGGTTTAAGTCCCAGAGCCCATAGACTTCAGTGTCAGAAATCAAAAGATCAATGTCCCACCTCCAGAAAAAAGAGAATTCATTTATCCTCTGCCTTCTTTCCTATCAGGCCATCAACAGAATGAATGATGTCCACCCAGCGTGGTAATTAATAACATGGCCATTGTCTGCCCTCAGACACCTTCGCAGTTACATCTAGAAAGATTTTACCAGTTCTGTGGGCATCTTTTAGTTTAACAAGTTAACATGAAAAATTAACCCTTACACCAGCCATACCATGCTCAGACTTCCAATCTCTAGAAATGGTGAGATGATAAATTTGTGTTGCTTTAATCCTCTGAAGTTGGTGATAATTTGTTACATAGTATTACCATCTATCCAGCTTTGAGCAATTGCTTCTTCTCCACCTCAAATATGATCCTGACTTTGTTTCTGATATTTACCCCTGATCAGGTCTAAAGCCCATGTTTTTGGTACTAGGGATCAAACTCAGGACCTTGTGCTTGCGAGGCAGGTGGCAGCACCACTGAGCTAAATCCCGGGCCCCCTACATCCCACATTTTTAAAGAGAGGCTTCTGTTCTCTATTTCCTCCCAGATAGAGAGACAGGCCAGATTCTCCAGTCTCTTCTTCTTCTTCTTTTTTTTTTTCCTTCTTTTAACATCAGTTTTCTCTCACAAGTCTGAACAAATTCCAACATATTTACAAAATAATACCATTCTAAATCTTAGGTTTGCCTAGCTATTTTGGTTCTAGTATTTGGCTGGCATCTATAGGCACCCTTTAGCAGAGGGAAGGATGGGATGAAGAGAAAGAGGTGGGTGGGAAACCATAGAAAAGGTAAAGGTAAAGATGATCCTTGCACTGAAGAAGAGGAAAGGAAGACCAAAGTTGGAAAGAGTAAATGAGGGACGGAAAAGAGGTCGTGAGAATTAGGCATAGGACGGTGACCAGCAACTTTTCAATTTACTGATGAGATTCAGTCACTTAACAACGGGCATTCCTAGTTCAGGATAAAAATAGAAACTCTTACAGTTTGATTCACTTAAAGACCATAAAGATCAATGTGTGGGTTGTACATTTATGTGTGAATTTTTGTATATAATAAGACACTTTCAAGTGAGTAAAAAAATAGTAATATCAGAGAAACACCTGGAAAATTGTGTATGCTTTTTATAAACTCTATTATCTCCTCTGATGTCAGCTGACTGTAACATGCTACAATTCTAGGTATCTAAGTTTCTAACTCTGGCTCTGGATCATGGGGAATTTTTTCAGGGGAGGTTATGGTGGCAGGTTGAGACAGGCTCTCATTATGTAGCCTAGGCTGGCCTTACACGGGTGAGGCCCTCCTGCCTCAGCCTCCCAAGTGCTGGGATGACAGGTGTACTCCAGTGTACTCAGCTGGGAATTTCTTGTGGTAGTCTCTAGGAAATACCCTGCAAACTGATTCTGTGTGAAGGAAAAGGAGAACGGCGTGATCCCCTATATCAGTGCTTCCCATCCACTCATTCATACAATATAGCTCATTATTCCACAATAACGAAGGGAGGCGGAACCCTGAAACAGAGTCTGGATTTTCCTGAGACAGACCGGTCGCCAGGGCTGCGCAGCCAGCGGGGATCCCGCGTGGACGAGCGCCGGGTACGGGTCGAGCCAGGCGCCCAGCGAGGTAGCGGTAGCCAGAGACACCCAGGTGGCACCAGCGAGCCCACGAGTCGCGCCTCCCGTGCACCGTTGTGGTTGATCTCTGGACAGCCACAGCAGCAGCAGCGGCGGCAGCGGAGGCCTCTGGCGACAGGGGTGGGCGGCGCTTTGGAGAGGCTGTCAGGCCTCAGGGTGTCCCGGCTGCGCCTCGGTTGGGTCCTCCTGCCCTTAGAGCGCAACGCTGTACAGAAGCTGCGCGCCAGACACAGCAGGAGGGGCGAGACCTGACGTGGTCATTTGGGACTGATTTCCAAGGTCAGCGCCCGTCTCCCAGCCCTCATCAGCAGACTGAACTCCGCCGGTGTCACCCGCAGGATACCACCAGAATCAGCCCTGGCCTCCTCCCCAGTGCAGAGTCGGCCGCTCAGGCGGCACCCTCACCCCACCTCTCCAGACACCCAGCTGGGGAAACTTACGCTTCTGTAGTTCTGTGGGCTCTGGTGGGCTCCCCCTTGTCACTTACTCTCTGGCTGGGGATGGTCCTGTCTTCGTCTTTCTTCAAGGCTGCCGTTTTCTCTGTGGTGACTGCAAGGAGGCTGTCAAGGATTCTGGGCTGCTTGTCCCTGAGACCCCGGCCCTGATCCCATCTGCCTCTTGTCAGCTGTGGGTGAGAAGAAGTCATCACTCAATGGGCCGGACCTGTCTCTGGAAGTCTTGAGGTGATGAGGACTAACCAACAGTGACAGAATCCAGCATAGCACCACCCTTCTTAGACCTTCCTCCGCTCCTCCACACCTGCCAAACCCAGCACCTCAGGACCTGGCCTTCCCTCTGATTTCTGATATTCCCGAGATGCCTAGCCCGCTCCAGCGAGCACTCCCAAAAATCTAGATCCAGAGCCGGGCTCAACTAGTAGAGCCACTAACCACAAGGGAGCAGGTCTTCACCTTGGGCTTCCCCTGCTCTCTGGCGGTGTGGAGGGCACATTAACTGGAGCCTGCTGCCTTACCCAGACCTACCTTGTGTTTCCCCAGTTCATGCAGCCCTCTCCCAAAAACTATCAGCACAAAAAATAATTTAAAGCCCTACCTTGTCTCCTCCAAGAGCCCTCCCGGGTCCTGGGGAATCGAGTGCCTCTGTTTTCATAGCTGTCACCTTCTTTCTTCTCTGTAAATGATGTTTCCTTTGGAGCAATTACTTCTATATTCCCACAAGAGCGGTGTTTACTCTGAGTTCTCACTGCCAGGGCTCCTAATACTTAAAAGTACCCTCTAGTTCAGGCTGCCACCTGACCCTCACTTCTGGCTGCCTCAGTGGTCCAACAGGAAATAAACAGGTAGGAGAGGGGATGGGTTTAAGACCCCACGTCCCCTAGGAGATTGTCCCAGGATTATCAACCACACCTAAGTAAGAAGAAGGACTTGATCAGAGTAGGCAGGTTTTATGTTGTGTGTGTGCATTCTTTCTTGGTCCCTGCAACTCTGTCTCTACTAATTTATGAGTATTTTTCCTGGGTGGAGGAAGAAAAGGTAAATCTGTTCTCAGTTCTGAGTTTATTTCACAGAAAGTGCAATATTTTGTTGTTGCGTGTTGAAGTACTCTTTGTTGGTTGCAGCATTTCTACATGTCCTCGTGTGT